AAGGTTCGCAGCCCAATTCATAACCACTACGCTACCAGAGCTCCTTTTCTTATTTAAGTCAATTTAATTGTTATTTGGTATTTAAACTTAATCTTTGGAGGTTTCTAAGTTCTTGATTTTTTATGACAAAGTAACTCAAGCCTAATATAGTTCTATTTTTGTAAGTAACATGACTTCATAGGAAATGTTTTACAGATAAATATCTTAAAGATCTCCCTTTGATCAATGTATATATAGACACAATTCATATAAAGTACACACTAGATACCAAATAGGTTGTTTATTAAAGGAGTCAAGTTCTCATAAGGAATTGAGTTCATTTACAGCTTTCATTTTGTTAATGAACATTCTTTTGTTTTGTTAATGAACATTCATTTCACTTTCCTACTACATGTACTATTTCTGTGAATCAGCACTAAATATGCATCTAGAAGTTAAGCTTTATTATTGAGTCTGAACAGGTGCAAAGCAAGGAGGCCACAGATAAACTTTTGGCTTAGAAATTACACACAAAATGGAGAAGGAAATAAAAAGAGGTGCAAGGTTGGGGGAAAAGGTAAAAGATAATAGATATCTCAAAAGGTTGGGGGAAAAGGTAAAAAGTATTAGATATAAAGTTTTCTGTTTCTTTTTGAAAACTTATTTTTAAAAGCTGATTCCTCAAATACCACCTCTGTAAAAAGCCAGGAAAAGTCTGTTTCAATAACTCACAGAACACAAACATCAAAGCCTATGAGGGACTGGAATTAATTAAATGAGATAAACCCCAACTATTAAACTTCACTCCCACCCATGCATCATTGCACGAATAGATAATGTCATTAAGTTATCAATACTAGTACACTTCACGGATCCTGTGGTAGTATATTTAACAAACTATACAGAGTCGCTATAAGTCAAAACCAACTTGATGGCACTTAAGAACAATAACAACATCTTTCTAAACTACCCGGCTATCATATAGCAAAGCATTTCTAATAATGACTGAGAAGCTACAGCACCACTTAGACAAAATAAAGTCTGTGGTGAGCAGCTGAGCCGAAGGTCCCTGATTTGGGGGTAGTTTAATCAAAGGATTGCAACTAAACAGTTGCGGTCCAGAAACTCGGGCTGCTTCCAAGTCAAAATCCCCCGCAACTAAAAAACATGCAAGGCTGCTTCAAGAGACAAAAAACTTGCAAGGTCTTTCCTTATACTTAGCTATGTCCTTCGGCTCAGCCTGCACAACATTCTAGCTGCCCTGTCTCTGTTTCCCTAGCAACTACATTCTTCTAACAAAGTCCTGCTTAATGCATGCATCAATAACACCAAACATTATTCTTTTCCCTGCCCCCAAGAACCTCCCCTTAAGCTGTGTATACAATAAACTTGCTGCCTAGGTCTATGTCGCAGTATCTCCATCCAAGTGCTGCATCCCACCTGGTCCCAACTGTACTATTTTTAAGTATGTCTGTGTCTTCCTTTTATTTCTCATCTCCCCTCACCCCTACCCAGGTTTAATCTATCCATACAGGTTGCGGAAAAAAGCCAATTGTCAGACGAGGCAAAAGTCCTATTATATACTTGTAATTCCAATGGCAGTATAACCTGATCTTAGTTACTGATGGTCTAGTAGTTCAAGTTCACCTACAGATACATCAGAAGAAAGGTCTAGCAATCTACCTTCCAAAGCTCAACTACTGAAAACCTCATGGAGGACAGTTCTACTCTGACACACATGGAACATCATGAGTCAGAACTGACGCATTAAAAACTGGTTAGTTTATACTTCTACTTAGAAACACTGAGGTTAGAGTGGACATTTGTCAGCCAAGGCATTTAGAGATGGGCACTGGCATGTTACCCATTATTGTTACTCTAATTTTAATTTACCTTCTCCACTTAGCTGACAGGCAAGGAATGTGGCCAGAACTTAAAAAATACATTATTAGTATTCCTATTCTATTTGTGCATCTTACATTGTGTTCTCCTATGATCCCATGTGGCCATGGGGATAAGAATCTATGGGCAGGAATGAGCACAGTCCCCCTGACATAATCAAAACCTAGAAGCTGCAACACCTCGATGTCTTATGTGTAGGTAGTGAGAGATTTGGAGAGGGTAAGCATGGGAGAGAATCACCAGCTAAAGATGAGTACACTGTTTCTCCTAAGGAAAATGATCTAGCTTGAGGTTATTTCCTTTGCATTTTTATTATCTATCCTGGTGTGGCACTTTAAAATAAGCATTGGATTGTAAACCACATGGTTGGTGGTTCAAACCCACCAGTCGCTCCTTGGAAATCCAATACAGGGTCACTATAAGTTACGTACAACTCAACAGCACTTAAAAAGGGAATCCCTTAATTACAAGGCAGTGGTAACAACAATGGGTTCAAACAAAACGACAATGGTGAGGACGGCCCCAGACTGGGCAGTGTTTTGTTCTGTTGTACAAAGGGTCACTAGGAATCGGAACCAATTCCATAGCATCTGACAACAGGGGATTCAAGACGAGAGTTAATGTGGTGATACTATCATTGAGGGCCGTGTGACAGTGAAAGTAAAAATTAGTAATTAGTAATCTTTCAGGGGAAATGACTCTTAAGGAGGGAGCTCTTAAGTCCAGCAGCTTCATCTGTGAAGATAGGCCCTGTATTGCCTTCCTTGGAGGAACTGTGTTTGATTTTTATTAAGAATCTAGCCAGGTACCTTTACATGTTGGGAAAAAAAAAAAAAATTAAGGTTAAGGAATTATATGTAGCATAGATTACAAGCCAAGGAACTGGCTCCTCAAAATGGTGGCTAATTTTTGAGGACCCTATTCAGCATTACAGGAGTCCTGGTGTGACACTATAGGATCAGAACTGGACTACACCACAAGGTCGGCAGTTGAAACCCACAAGCCTACTTGAAAACCTATATAAGGTTGATATGAGTCAGAACTGACTCGAAGGCATTTAACAACATTAGGCACTATGCTACATCTTATCAGAAATATTACCTTATTTAACTATTAAAATTACATGTAGATATTCTGTAGGCATCCTATGTTAGAGATATATAATACACTTTCTCTAGCTTATGCAGCTAATTGGAAGCCAAGAAAATATTCAAATCCAGGCCCAACTAAATCCAAAATCAATGCATCTATCTCTTAACTAATTCCTAAAGGATGCTTGTCTTAGCATATTATTTTTATCCATCTTCTGTTAACCGAAGTATGCTCTAAATTTTGAGATTAAGATAATTTGGAGAAAAAGCAACAACAGCAAACAAACAAAAATACAGCAAATCATCTGAAGCTTACTTACGATTTAAAGGTTTTTTAAAAACACCATACAGATTAATTTCTTGAAGCAGTTTTGCTTGCTAATTTCAATTTTATAAAAGTAGCAATGAGATTTTCAAACTTTCTAGAATTAAGTAGATGTGTATACTCTACCTTGTCAGGTTTTGTTTCTGTCTTTTTGACAGATCTTCCTTTATTTGGTGACTTTCTTTCTAGTTCATTACCTAAAATAAAAATGAAATGAAATATTCATTTTGGGTAGCTAGAAAACACTGCATGGAAAGTAGTGTGCAATTTTAATAAAGAAAAAAACAACAACCGTAGGAATATATGTCTTGAAGGATTTTCATGATTAAAGTCTTCTTAAAAATTAAGTTAGAAAAGTGAAATTGCTGTCTATAAGTTAGAAAAGTGAAATTGCTGTCTATAAGAGGCCACATGTTTTAAAAACAAATCAAAGATGTTTTACCTTAATTCTCTGAAAATCAAATACATCCTTATTAGAGAAACTACAGAAAAGTACAAAGAACCAACACTATGCAAAAATAAATAAATAAATAAACCAGACTAACCAACATTCCATTACTCATTAATAATCACTACTAACATTCAAGGTCCTGGTGTGGCACCGTGGGTTAATGCACCAGACTGCAAAGCCGTTTGAACTGCAAGGTTGGCAGTTTAAGCTCACCAGCTGCTCCTTGGAAACCCTATACAGGTTCACTATGGGTTGGAACCGACTCAACGGCACTTGACAACAAGAAGATATTCAGGGTATGTTTTTCTAGATTTTTCCTAAGTTCACATATTCATATGCTATTTAATAGAATTGCTATCATACTGTTCGGAGTTTAACCTGTTTTTCTTTTCCCATGTTAATACATCATAAGCTATGTCAAGAAGTATGTTTTTTATAATATTGTTCTTAATAGCCACAGAGTATTCTACCAAATGGGTGAACTAATTTTTGTGTCCCCTCTGAAGCACTCACTGCCCACACAGATGCAGGCACCGCACCATTTGAGAACACACTGTGTACTAAGCACCCTTTCTCTGTATGGCAAGGCACTGAACCTCCTACCTCAAGGAATTAAAACCTTCCAGTTTGAATTCCTACTTCTCTCCTACTCAAGGAAGGACTTTTTGACAAATGAGCAATAAATAAACCACAAGGGTTAAGGCATTCGAGTGTAGTAATGAATCAAGAAAAAGTTCTTACCTTTCGTAGCTCTTGAGACCGGCTTCCTTATTGTGGTAGATGAGACTGCCCTGCCAACCTGGTTTGCTGCCTGAGTAGCTGATCGAGTCATTCTCACTGCTGTAGGGACTACAAGCTGTGCAGCTACTGGAGGGGAACATCAAATCATATGTTATCTAGAATTTTTAGTTTCTGTGGTAGCATCAGAGCATATACTTGCTAGTAACCTACCTTTCTTCTCTTTCTCCAACACTTTCTTCTCAGAAGTTGGTCTCTGACCAGAATGGATTGTTTGAAAAGTCCTCCCATTATGTATCTATTTAAAACAGTAAGTGCTATGTGATTTAATTGCATAATGAACCAAATTATTTTTTTGATTTATAGATGACCTTCACCTGATATTTACAAATTGTGACCCAGCCAAAAGATCCCCTACATAACAGGAAGTGAACAAAAATTGTTCCATCATAGAAATTTTTTACATCCTTTTTAGAATTCTAGAATTTAGAAAATGTTAACATCCTAATCTACTAAAAACAACTGACTATTATCTCAGGATATAGCTCAGGCAGCTCTAACTTCAAGAGCTTTAAGTTTTCCCTCGAAAGTTCTTATCCTAGATAGAAAGCTCTTCCCAGTAGCTTTATTAAGAAATGAAGAATTCATTTAAAATGCTATGATCTCAGTGAGATCCTCCCAGACTGCCCCAGCAATACTCTACCACATTCCTATTCCCAATACTCTGCATCCTCTCCGTTCTCTTTATGACCTCCTCCCTAGTACCTATTACCGTTTGACATGGTGTTAAGTGACACTGATTCAGTCCCGACTCAGAGAGGCCCTGTGTAGGGCTTCCCAGGAGCAGCTGGTGAATCTGAACTGCTGCCCTTGTGGTCTAGTACTCTATGCCACAGTGCCACATCAGGACCCCTCCAAATGGCATACTATATATTTATTTTTATTGCCAGTCTCACCCTATCTGTAAGCTTCATGACAACAGAGAATTGTGTTTGTTTTGTTCACCAGACAGAGACCAGAACCGTTCCAGGAACACAGCTGTAATGAAAATTCTGTTGACCACCTGAAACTTAGTTTCTTCACCTGAAACTTAGTTTCTTCACAGGATATTCTGTCCTCCTAGCCCACTTTACTTCAGTAACCCTCCTAACCCTCCTCAACCCACAGTGGTGTTTTGTAAAGTCCTAAATTTGTAACACCCAACCTACAAAGCTTCACATTCCTGGCTGCATTTCATGTTGACTTGCCACAAACATGTAACAGAAGTACAACAAATGGAAACGAATAGTAATACATAAACAAAGTTTGGTATAGATCTCATAAAGGATGCTGGAACACAGAATGTTTTAAATAATCATTTCTTTAGTATCTAGTCAAAAGCTACTCTATTTCACCATACCAAACTAGTGATTTTGGTACCTGTTAACTCTAGCAAACTAATCACTACTCCTGGGAAGAGATTAGATTAAAAATGAATTTACTTCATTTGAGGGAAAAAATACAATTTGCTATTTTAGTAACAGATTATCCACTGATTATTAAACCGTACCTTAGTCTGCTCCATTTGCTCTTTGGCCTTTGACCTTGTAATACGTACAGAAGAGGAAATAGTCTAAAAACAATCAAAAGAATGTCATGTTAAAAAAAAACAAAAAACAAAACAGAACTGGCAAGTTTTACTTCTCTGCCTCATGATGGCAAACTTAAATTCCTATTTTTCATGGTCTGGCCTTATTCAAATTAAGTTTAAGACAGCCCGTTAAAAAGTAACTCTTATTTCTCAGTTAAGAGAGAGAAGAAATTGCAAAAAATTTCTAACATCTTTAAGGTATTAGAATCCTCATTAATATGATTAGCTGGGCAAAGTGGGGAGGGAGTAAGCAAGCAAGCAAACCAGAATATTAGGATCTCTGTAACTTTCTTATAAAGGGATACTTTATAGCATAGTTTTCTAAGGCTGGCAATTTGGTTTCAATCTCATGATTACACATTAGTCCATTGCCACTAAGAAAGCGGAGATCAAATCTCTAAGAAAACCTAGTGCTGATAGAAACTAAGGGGAGGCAATAGAGGTTCAGTGGTAGAATTCTTGCCTTCCACCTGGACACTCAAAGGCTTCACCGCAGAACACCATGGTCAATGCAAAAAATGACTGAAGTTGTCAATGACTTCACTTAGCTTGAGTCAATCACCAACACTCATGGAAGCGGCAGTCAAGAAATCAAATGACACACTGCATTAGGCAAATCTGCTGTACAAGACCTTTTCAAAGTGTTCTAAGGCACAAAAGTCAGTTTGAGGACTAAGGTGTTCCTTACCCAAGCCATGGTACTTTCAATGCTTGTGAAAGTTGGTCAATGAATAAGTTGCACAATTAGTGAAAGCTGGACAATGCTTGTGAAAGTTGGACAACGGATAAGGAAGACCATAGAAGAATCGATGCATTTGAGTTATGGTGTTGCAGAAGAATTTTGGAAAGTATCATGTATTACCAGAAGAGCATGCAAATCTGTGTTGGGAGAAGTACAACCAGAATGTTCCTTAGAAGCCAGGATGGTGAAACTTTGTCTCTCATACTTTGGATATGTTATCAGGAGAGACCAGTCCCTGGAGAAGGGCATAATGCTTACTAAGTGGACGGTTAGTGAAAAAGAGGAAGATCCCAATGAGATGGAGTGGCACAGTGGCAGCAGCAATGGGCTCAAAAGTAACAATTGTGAGGATGGTGTAGGACCAGCCAATGAGCCAATGATACGTTCAGTTGTGCACAGGGTCAGAACCAACTCAGTGGCACCTAACAAAAACAACATATGGTTACTGGAGTTCATTTCTTGGCCAATGTGCCTCATACAAAGCTACCACCTGTCTATCAATGGAGGCTTGCATGTTGCTATGATGCTAAACAGGTTTGAGCAGAGTTTCTAGACTAAAACTCACTAGGAAGAAATGTCTAGAGGTCTATTTCCCAAAATCAGCAATGATAATTCTATCAATCATAATTGTCCGATCTGTAAATGCTTATGGGGATGGTACACGAGTGCTGCTGGTTAATGCATTGGACTGCAAAGTCTGCTTGAACTGGGAGGCCTGCAGTTCAAGCTCACCAGCTGCTCCTCGGAAACCCTAGACAGGGTCGTTATGGGTTGGTACCCGACTTCACAGCGCTTAACAACAACAACAAAAATGACTGGGCAGCATTTAGTTCCCTTGTACATGGGATCACCAGGAGTCAGGGGCCATGATGACAATTAATAATGAGACAAAAACCAGGTTGCTCTCTAGTACAACAAAAAAGCCAAAATCCAGCCATTCTACAGTGTAAGTTGAAGGAAACACAATTATTGGTGAAATTTATTAGTTAACATAATGATGTACTTTCCCCCACTACACATAGTACTTAAAAATCTTGTTGTTGTTGTTGTTGTTGTTAAGTGCCGTCGAGTCAGTTCCGACCCATAGCGACCCTGTCTATTTTAAACCGACTGTCCCAGTTTACCTATGCCACCCCACTTATTTTATCATGCAAGTCTCACGACAGGTCTTCCTATCTATAAATACTTTCCTTTCCAGACTATAACCTTCAATGTCAAGGTAATCTTACACTAACTTGATAATAATACATCATTTAGCTTTCTTTGGCTCTCAATATACTGCAAAATAAATTCCAAATCCTTAAGCATAGCATTGTTTACGGGTCCTGGTGTGGCGCTGAAAGATAAGCATGGGACTGCTAATCGTGAAGTTGGTGGTTTAAACCCACCAGTCACTCCTTGGAAACCCTATACAGGGACACACTGAGTTGGCACCTTGAACTTAAGAAGAAAGGTTAAAGATGTAGATAGAATGCTTCCTGGAATGAGAAGCTGAGCAGAGATGGCGAGAGAGGGAGACTGAATGGTGACTGGCTGACCAGACACGACCTGACCATCTTGTGAACAGCTTTGACAACAAAAAGAGGCCTGACAGAGAAATTCACTGGGAAAAATTTTTTTTGCAATGGCACATCAGACAAGGAACTAATCTCTAAATTTATAGGAAACTACAATACATCTACAAGAAAAAGACAACTCAATTTAAAAATGGGCACAGGACATGAATCAACATTTCACCAAAGAAGACATTCAGTCAGCAAACCAACATGAAGAAATT